ATTAGAGGCCATTACGCAGGCCAATGGTAAAGCTTCATCAAATATCCAACAGCTTCAACTCTAATTGGTCAATTTTCTGCAGACTTGTGTTAATTACTGTCCAATCAGAAAATCCATAACAAAAAAAAGTGACAAGTCTCTGTTTTTGAGGTTAATCGTCCAAGCTTTGTACTGTAATAAGTACCCCAATGGGGGGTCCACGAAGCTGACGTCAGATCAGCAAATTAATAAACATTTCTGGGGATGCAGACTGCCCTCTATGAACCATGAAATTAACAACTGAGGATAGTGGTCTAGATTCTAGAAAATAATAGATTCTAATCCTAACAAACAATCTATTTCATTTTTTAAAAAAAATCTTGGTATATGTACCAGAATTTAATGCACCACTCCTATGTACCGGTAATGAGCATGCAAGTATGTCTGTAGTTTATGCTTCCAAAGAGTTATATGCTTTAAAATTACAAGAATTGAATAATCTTTTATTGCATTCATAAATCAGAAAGAAAATCCATTTCTCACCAGAAATCCTAAATAAGATCTCTGTAAAAAAAATTGATAGAAGGAAATAATTTGAAGAAGTAGTTTCTGGAGATTATTATTTTATTTCATATTGTCTCAATATTTTTTTCTTCAAATTACACTGCACTACCAGCATCAATGCTGAAATTGAAGTTGTGGAAGTGTGAATAATGACATCCACTTGTTGTTGTCTGTGGGTCCATGGGGCAAAGCTTCTAGAAGCTCCTGAATTTTTGATGTTTTAAATACAGAAATCTAGAAAAATTGTACACTATTCAATTTAGCTATTTCTATGAATTGCAAGGATTAATATTTTGAAAAAGATCATTTTAAATGATACAAGAAGTCTCTGACAAGACTGTAGCTCTACTGGTTTTTACTTAGTTAAATAAAGTAGAGAAAGGTTAAGCATTTAGACTTGTAACTTTTACAACAGCAATAAATAAAATAATGATCCTTGGTTTAATCTCTTTCTGAGTCAAGTTTAATTACAATTGCACAAAAACTGTAGTAGGAGTTGTGTTCTGAAAGAATTTCACAAAGATTTCTTTTTGTAGAAAACTATACCAATACCGTTCATCGAAATAAAAAAAAAACAATAAACGGAATTACGTATCTTAGTGTAGTCTACTTGTGTACCAAGTTATATTGAAAATGGACTTCAACTGTAGAGGGAGTAGCGTTTTGAAAGAAATTCACAGAAATTTCTGTATTAGGTAACCATGGCAATTTTGTTCATTGAAATCAAAAACTGATAAATAGAATTACTTACCTTAAGGTAGTCTGCTTGTGTACTAAATTATACTGAATTCAGACTTAAACTGTAGGAGCTAGGAGTAGTGTTTTGAAAGAAATTCACAGAAATTTATATTTTTAGAAATCATGGCAACACCGTTCATTGAAATCAAAAACCAAGACAGAGAACTATGTATTATGAATTATGTATCTTAGTGTAGTCTACTTGTGTACTATACTGTGTTATACTGAAGTCAGACAAACTGTAGGATGAGTAGCATTTTGAATGACATTCACAGAATTTTCTATTTTGAGTAACCAACCATGGCAACACTCTTCATTGGAAACAAAAACAGATAAACAGAATCATGTACCCTAGTGTATGTAGTGTACTTGTGTACCAAGTTATACTGAAATTGGACCAAAGCATGGGAGCAGTAGCATTTTGAAAAATTGTTTACAGACAAACAGACAGCTAGACAAATGGCATACACCTTACTATCGCATAAGCCCTTCTGGTCTCTGACTTTTGCCTCTTTCTTATACATGTATTGCTCCCTAGACTTGTTATTAAATAAAAAGCGTTTTGTCCTCTTGACCTTGTCAAAGACAGGTTTGAAAGGATGACTGCACTTAAGGACATGCGAAATTTGCGACAAAATAAACTTTCAAAACAAGCATTTTTCTTTTCATTGACAAGAATGGTCAAAATCCAATCTACAACTTTATGTAATTAAGTTTAATAAAAGTGTGTATTTACGAAGTTTGAATCTGTTTTCAAAGGCAGGGGTCATCACAATTTCTTGAATCTCCGTTCGATAATGAGGACGCCCACTTTTTTACTGACTTTATACATAGTCAGCGCATGTTTGTCTATTGTTCTACGTTTAACAGTAGTTGTATATTTGCATAAATAACAATGTGCCAAAAGGAGATTAATAGACAAATATGCGCTCATGGTTAAAATGAGAAAAAACTGCTTCTTCTTACATTCGTTCTCTGTGTTGTAACCAAGGATTGTGACTTGTTGAATATTATAATTCACCACGTGATTTCATACCTCAGGTAACTTTGTGAATACTAGATTCCGTCACGTGACTTGTAAGGTAGCATGTTATATGCTAACTAGGACATTGTGTTCGAACACGTTAAGTCATCTGGCATTGATATAAAATCTGCTTTAATCACATTAACGTGCTCATATTGTTAATTTCGTTTTGAAACCTTGTCAGAAGTGTATTTGTGCCACACAGAATGGAGAGGGAGATTGGAAAGAGTGATCACGTTCTTTTTTCCAAACATGTCATTGTTATTTATCAAGTCTAATTTTAGACCCATTCTTACAATGTTAGCCCCACCTCTCTTGCATATCTAATGTTCAATCAAGGGCAGGTAAGTGTAAATTCACTATATTTGAAAAGCAGTAAGGACAAAAAACATTGAATCATTTTATTGTATCACAGTCTAAAATCATTTTAAGACTTAAATTTGGTTCCAAATTGACAGGATTCTTTCATAAACATACAAAAGTGAAATAAGATTTAGATATAAAAGCAACAGAAGCAATCGAAAAGGACCCAAAAACAGGCGTTAAGTGCAGTCATCCTTTATTTAAGAAATGAATTTAATTTTTGAAGATTCATGATGACATGAACTATGACGCTTCACGCTGGCATATTTCATGAAGCACGTTAGAGCTTCATGATAAATATGCCCGCATGAAGCATTGTAGTTCATGTACCTCATGAATTTTCAAAAATTAAATAAATTTCTTATATTTTCATTATTTTTTTGATGATTTGGCACAAATAACACTTTTCAACTGTCATTTTTAAAGCAAAACAGTTTGCACTATAGTTTTGATGTCAAGTAAGGTAGTATGATGTAACAATGGAGATATTCATTATACAGTCTCTATCAGTCACTGACTTTTAGGAACATGTACATAATTTACATGAACTCTTTATTTTTTTTCTTGAACAGATAAAGCCTTGCAATATGTATGATAGCTTTAATTCAGCTAAGCATCTGCACATCAAAGATTTTTGTCACCTTTTTTTTTTGTTTATTTCAACATAATAACATCTTGATGACAGTTAATCAAAACACATGCCATACATGCTCCACAGTCATCAGGTACCTTTACTTACAATTTCATTATGATCACCTGAAAATAACTATATTTCTGATGACATAGATGCTTTAAGTAATGGTTTTTAATCTTCTCATACGCTCATGTCAATTAAAAAACAAGATGTGTTTGTGAAACACTGATGCCCCTGTATGGCAGCTCAAGGCAAAGCCTGAAGTTTTTCATATGTATTAAACTCCAAGGTTAAAAGTTCAAAAATTTTCATACCCAAAGAAAGGTCTGGACACATGGAATACAAATATAAATACCCTAGCTTCAACCGTTTCAAAATTATGGCCAGGGTTAAAGTTAGGTAAATTTTTGCAAAGGAAGAAGGTCAAACTCCAAAGTCAAGAGGTCACCCAAAGAAAGGTCTTGTCACAAGGAATACACATATGAAATATGAAAGCCCTAGCAGCAACCATTCAAAAGTAATGGGCAAGGTCAAAGTTTGTGTGGACAACAGACAAACAAACAAACAGACAGACCAAAATCTGTATGCCCCTGAATCTTCCATTACAGGGGCATAAAAATGGTCACTCTATTCTTTACTGCATATGATTATAAAAGCAGTTTGGAGACATTAATATCAAACAGATAACAATTTATTTGCAAGAATAAATGACAAATCTTAAATCTATGGTAGAAATGTGTTTGTGTGTGTGTGTAAGGGGGGGGGGGGGTATAAATGTGCTAAATGATTTTGTTTTTACTACTTTGTTAAACTGTAAATTGAACCAAAAATGTTCTATTTGTATCAATTTAAAACAATATTTAGCTTTATACCAAAAGGTTAATAATATATTGACCATGCAGACATTAATAAAATTGTTTCTTAATTCAATTTTGTATGAGTCATTAATCCTACAAATTCACGAATAATAGATCTACTACCAATTTTTTTTAAAAAAAAAAAAAAAAAAAAAAAGAAAGAAAAAAAAGAAGAAAAACTTCACTTGATTTTTTTTTTCATTTGAAAAAATTAAAAAGATTTTTATAAAAAATGGGAAAAAAATATGATATGAAGTTTCTTTGAGCCATATATTGTATATCTGAATTGTAAATACAGAGGTTTGCAAGTGTAACCTTGTATGACCCTTCCTCATAATGTTCACTGAAACTGATATGCCCAAATCATAACATAGAAAGTACAACTATGTGAATCATTTGAGGCATTACCGGTATTTTCCACAGAAAGTAATACAAAGTTGAGTTTGAAATTATTGTATCCCCTGGTGGTTCATGGACCAGATTTTTTTTTTACTTCCATTGAATGACTTAAAATATAATCCCTCCTAATTCATTACATATAAGTTTGGGCATGCTTCCAAATTATGTATAATCTCTCTTTCTTAACTATTTCTAAAATGCTAGGACAATTAATAAAGATTAACAGGGCACCTTGAAGATTTCTCTTGAAAACAACACTCAATTATTAGTACTATAAATGCTTTTCCTATTCATAATCAAGCAAGCCAACCAAACATCAGAGAAATATCCTAACTAGCCAATCAAATCAACAGAAGCAACAAAGAGGCTGCAAAGCTCCACCCACATCTGATACAGACTTTTAAGATGGCTAATTGATCTGTAGATCATCTCTATACTAACTTATATATCAACCTGTGAACTTGCTTCCAAATTCATTACAATAGAAGTATGTTGCAGAATAAAGTGAATACATTGTGATTTTGATTACAGCTACAAATTTTACAGGAATTGACTACTTATAGCAGAAAATTTTTACCTCTCAAAAGGTAAGAAGATTTTAAACATAAAACTTCAAATGTATCCAAATCTGCAAGAATGACAATTTTATAAATTTCTTTCATGATTTAAAAAAAATGAATATATCTATGATTTTGATTAGGACAGAAAAAAGTAATAAATTACAGAATTTTTATTTAAAAAAACCATACCTGCTTTTAAACAACCAAAGGGAAAACATGAAATGTTTAAATTACATTTGCACTAAAGGAACTTTAAATGTATAGGTGATGGAGTTGAATAGCATGCAATCTGGCAATAATTGCTTAACAGTCTGTCATAATCTAAACAAAATCAAAGGAAGTGGTGCATGACTCCTTAGAAGAAGCACATGACAAAAAACTATGGAATTACTACAGTAATTGTACTTAACTATTAAAAGCCTCAGCATCTTGTTGAAGTGATAGATGCTAAAGAGAAATTATACATCAACATCCTGCTACAAAAATATTAGTTTCACAGTATGCATATTAGATAATTTGAGTAAAATTATTGGAGAGAGAGAGGGATCAAAAGATTATTTCACATGAGAGCTTGGTTGAAATGTTGAATAAAAATCCTTTCTTCCAAGCTTTGAAATTTGATGAAATTTGAATGAATATCCAAATTTAGGGTCTCTACAGACAGTTAAGGGTTTATTTATCGGAACTACAATCAGTAACTAGGCATGGCCACGTAAACTAATTACTTGCCTTGTTTAATCAATTGACCAAGCAATCAGGTATCTGGTATTTATTTTCCAATATCCATGCAGTATCATGAGTGATGTGCAAAATAATAATCACCATGCTTCCATTAATTCATATTTTGATGTGTAAACACAACTTTACAAATCAGCTTCTCTACAGGAAGACATTAAATTAATGATTAACTTAATTGCTTTCATTGGCTATGACCAAATATTTGTCATCCTTTAATATACATTTATTGCAAAATTAAAATGATGCACTGGGAAAAACCAATTAAAAGAGTGTACTTGCATCAATCTTAAGAAGTTTTTGGAGGATAAATTTTCACATTACATAGTTCTTTACAGATTATCATTAAAAAAAATTCTTCAGTTGAGTGCTGTGTAGAACTGAATTAAATGCTGAGCGGCATCTACCTTATTCAGCTGCAACCTTGAACCCATTTATAGATCAGTATTATGTCAAGGTTACAATTATGAAATCTTTTTTAAAGAGATTATCACACAATGTTTTCAGTAAAGAAGGCCACAGATTAAAAAGTATATTTTGAGTCAACTTTCCCCTGCACAAGACATCTGTACAAGATATTTAAAAAAAAAAAAAAAAAGAAACAAAAAACAAATGTCAGACAAACTTCCACGGAAAAAGATAATGGTTTTATGAGGTTGCAAACATTTAGAGTCAACAGGTAGAAACAATAAAATCTGAAGTATAAGAAAAGCTTTTTTATGATTTGGCATTTATAAGACTCAGTTCTAGAACAATAATTTGAAACATGAGAAAATAGAAGATAGGATTTGCTGACGCTAATAGCACCAGACAGCACATATTTCTTCACATCAATAAACAACCCGATAGTTTTGGGTTATTATACAATATTGACTATTTCTCCTGCTTTACAAAAAATCTTTTTTCTGAAAGGCTCATACTAAACAATTTCTACGGTCAGTCTATGTTCATCAACTTCCAGAAAAACAAAAGCCTTAATTAAAAGAGAGCTGTGCTTTATAGTTCACATATGTTGAACACTGGCCAGCATTTAATGAATGTGTGTATCTAATAGAATGCTTCATGAATATATAGGTTGCGGGCCTGTTGTAGGGGCCAACCCCTAGCTGCCAATTATACACCTCCAGTGAGTGGCATCTTTACTTATAATGTTTATCTTTATAGCTTGGGTCATTTAAGGACATGATGTTCTATGCAATTCTTTATCTATTTCTTGATAAACATATGTTTTGTTTTTAATCTTATAGACCCTTGTCTTAATTACTGAAACTAAAGTTTAAGAAAAGAAAATCGGTTTATTGAAAATGGTAATTGACCTTTAAAGAGCAGGAAATTGACTTTATCAGAAAATGTTGCATATATTATATCTGCAGAAGTATTCTTTCAACTCTCTTTCATATATTTCTATGAAATTGGGTTATAAGTCTATGTATCAAAATGTCAAAGAATACAAGAACTATTGCCCAATGTTCTGTCCCTAACACTTTAACACTTCTGCAAAAGGAAAAAGGAAAGGAAAAGAAAAAAAATAGCAAAACATTTTTCTTCTGCGCCCCCCCCCCCCCCTCTGTCTCTCTCAAAAAAGAACAAAAGAAAAAAAAAATGACACATAGGATGGAGCATGAACAGTAAATAATGTAAGTTAATCATTGTTTATAAATATAACTCAATGATACATTTCTAAAGCATGACTTTAAGGGATTAAATGAATATCCATCATAAATTTAAAGGTTTAGATTCCATTAATTACAACCTTATTATACAAGATTGCATGATCTAGGCAATACATACTTCAATGATACATTCCTTTCTATTTTGTAACTTGCATGTGTTTATCTGATATACCATTTGTACTAGATTTGCCCCTGTCTTTGTGGCACACGTGAAATTTGAGACAGCCATATAATTTTTATCCAATTTTAGGTGAAAAACATGTAGCACTTTTTTCTTTGACATTGAAAGAGACCATGGTTCCTAGTCATGTTACCTTAAATCTCAGTTAAAATCATAAACAAAACATTTACACAAATACATTTAATAATCCAGGAGCAATGGTTTAGACCCTCATTCAAACATTAAATGCAGTTTGGGTTACTGTTCAAAATTCAGGTAAATATACATACTGCACTTGTATTTTCTGCTTGCAAACATTTACTCTTCTGTAACTGTTTTTTTTTCCTTTTAAGACATGTAAAGTACCGATAGGTATTTCAGACTTAACAAGCTCTTTGGTACAACAGAGTCAAATACCTTCAAGGTAAAATCAATGTTGGTTGGTTTAAAACAAATACTTGACTGATGATTGAAGTTTTCTAGCCACCTTCTTTTTTTGTACTCCTCTTTCCTTCTCTAATTTTCCAATAATTTTTCTAATGGATATATTTGTCAAAGGGTACAATAAATTACCTTGGTTCAATACTTAATTGCAGAATGTTTGATTTTTTTCCCTTCAAAAAAAAATCCCTCCTCATATTAAAATTTTAAATGGGAATCTAATACTGGAGTTAGGTTTTGTATTAATTTGGCTTATTTTTCTCTAGAAGTTGTCAAGAGCAATTGATTTCCTGAAATTATTGACAGTATCATAATGACTTCCTCTCCTTTAGAAAGTCCTCAAAAATCCAATGGCTGCTCACAATTGACAAGCTTTTCCTCAGGCTGGTAATATGTCATACAATACCGTTTTGCTGGTACAAGAACTTAATAGCTCATAAAAAAACGTAAAATAATATGTTCTATTTTAAACCCTCTTTTCCTACTCTCCATTCAGAAAAAAAAGTCTAGGTGACATGAAATAAAGTTGCTCTAGATCTTTGAAAATCTTTTAAAAAACGTTCTCACTGATTAAATGTATAGTCTATATATGCATCCGACTTTTGATTTATATATGAAAAACGTGACCCTAAATACATTAACAAGAAAATTATTACTACAATGAATCCACGTACCACACAAGATTTTGAGCTCTTATCATGCATTAAAAAATAATACTTACTAAAAATATGTCTAATCTGCTTATAAGCTTTCTGTGTTCATTTTCTGTGCATGTCCTATTATTATCAATAAGTTTCAAAAACATGTACATAAGCTCCTTTCGACATTCTATACTGATCCATTGTCGAAGTCCCTATCATGCTTAAGAAGGATATGTTTTTTTTACTAGAATAAACCACCAGTACCTATATTTGGAAATCACACCTACATATTCCAATAGCACTGCAAGTGCAATTCTGCTTACGATGTCAATTCTAATTTTTTTGCTCAAAGCAATCAAACTTTTGCTGTGTTACCTTATTTGGTACGTGATTTGTTCAAATATTAAACACGTGCATGGATGTTCATTTTTGTGGGAAGGTAAATGAAACAAAATTTTCTCCAAATAGTATTTAGCTGTTTGGAAGCACAATTTCATTCAATGAACATGAAATATATCAGCTAGAACTAAACGTACTTCAAGTTTATCAACCTACAATGACTCTATAAAAATCTCATGTAGGGAAACATAAAGCATGCAGCTTCAAACTATAATGCTGGTTGACGATCGGCAAAGACAAACTGACCACAGCAAAACTTTGTTAAGTTATGTGATTTATAAATATTTATTTTCCTTTATTATCAGATCACAATGAAATCCTTTGCAGGCCCTTGAATCTACTACATTCAAACCCTGTTTTCATGAAACTTTGTGAAAAATATATAATTATCAAAATTAAATGTGTTTGGCTTCATAAACATATTTCATACAAATGTTAAAGAAAAAAGATCTCCACTTTGTAACAATTTTTAAGATGTTTAACCTTCTAACATGCTAACCAAAGGAGTTTCCAACAATAGTAGCAAATAGTTACAATCTGGGAGAAGCAAGGACATTATTCTATAGAAATGAGCTACTTAACACTAAGATTTCAAATACTGTTATTCATGATCCATATCAAGAATCATCTTCAGCTGCTATTTAGGATCAAATAGACTTACACATACAACCTCAAATCAATGCATTGATAAGCCATCTTTAATGTACATTATTGTAGCTATAACTTAAAGACATACACATGCTATCACCAGAGGACTTAAGTTATGTTACCTGGATAGCTATTGACAGCACACCACGTCAAGATTAATTATCAATTCTTTCCTTCTCCATTTCTAATCTAATTGCTTGGATAGTTTTTTGACCCTCTCAAAACAATTCGTGTTGAAAATCTCTGACCCATTTCAAACTCTGCAACAATTAAAGGTAATTAGATGTCTTACTTTGGCATACTAAAGACTGAAATATTTATACAAAGTGAAACAAGACATATTACCCATGATGGCAGGTGCTTGCCAAAGATACAAGTTGTTTAGAATTATATAACTATTCTCAGAGATTTTTTCCCCATTTCACAATTTCAAAGCCCATGTGGGCATCTAAAATCACATATGCCAAAAATTAGCAAAAAAAAAAAAAAAAGACAGAGAGAAAAAAAAGAAAGAAAAACTTTGACAACTGTCAAAATCAAAAAGCAATATGTTCACATCACCATGACCATGGAATGTAATTCTAAGGTCAAATGGTGTTTCCTCTGCTGATGTCAGTATGGTCATTACATTCAAAAGTACAATGTACTTACATTATAATGTCACATAACTACTGTCAGAGACTATTTTGGAAAAAAAAAAAATTCTAGCTCATTAAAAAATATGTAACTAAAGTCTCACAGACCATAATGCTCACCTGAATCCTAATGGCTCTCCCTCCCTTTTTGCCAAACAAGTATAAATTGAGATCCTTTAGTCTAGTCATCACAAACAAAAATGAGGGTTTTACATATTAGTATATATGCACTGATTTAAAAAAAAACTTCAGGCCTTAAAGACACATATACCACAAACAGTTTATTTTTTATCCCCCACACAGAAGAGTTACAATGCTATTTTTTCAATATTTCTTTTACTGAAAATCTAATTAGGAATTTTTAATAGTGTAAAATGTAAAAATAGACTCTTGAAAATGTTCCCAAAAATGGAACAGTGACAAAACTTCAAAATATTTCTAAAACATACTTTTCGAAAATTGTATTGAAATATAAAGTTACATTTTTCCATTTTCACCAAATTATGTGGCTTGGCCAAATATAAAGTTGTTTAACCAAACAGATATCACTTCTTTAGTAACAGAAGTACCTAGGAGCACAGATATTTGGATTTTGAAACAAAAAATTTGTATTTTTTATCCTTAACATTTACAAAATTAGAAAATCTTGCCATCATTTCATATATAACTTACTTATGGTCTTGTACTGTCTGCATCTGAGGGATCAAATGCTAACAGAGGTCTTATAAGTATTGAATTTAATTTACTATTTTTTTTTCTTTTGCAGGATCACAAATTCACTGAAGAAATGTAACCCAATCTGTCATCTATATTGGGTATTCCCTGACCAAAAAAAAAAAAAAAAAAAAAAAAAAAAGAAGAGAAAATTTAAAAAATGGCCAACAGTACAATGTCATCCATCATTGGTATGACGAATGAAACAGTTCCAGGGTACGTCATTGCTGGAAATGACACACTGACCAATTTGACCACTACAGTAGCCACTCCATCTGGTGACCAGGCTCACATCATAGTGGCACTAGTTATTTACACTTACTTGGGACCTATAATATGTGCAATAGGAATGCTGTTCAACATTATAAACTTTGCTGTTCTAATGCAGCACCAACTGAAGGAGTCCCCATACACGTATCTCACAGGACTAGCTATGGTTGATTTTTCTGCACTGACTCTTTCCTTCATCTACATGGTCATCTCCCACAAAACACCTGGGGTGAAATTCTGGAGATATTTTGATGCTTATATTTTCCTCCCATTTGTTAATGTATGTACATCTTCTAGTGTTTGGATAATTGTCCTGTTGACAATAGAAAGGTTCCTCTTTGTCAGACACCCACTCTGGGCCAAAGCTAAATGTGACCGAGCAAGTGCTAAAGTCAAGAACCTTGCCATAGTTGGAATGGCTCTGGTGTTCAACATCCCTCGATTCTTGGTTTTCGAAGTCGTTGAGAGTAAACCTGGATACTGGAAGTTGGAGCATACACCTTTTCGCAAGAGTAAGAACTTTTTTGGAATTAATTGGGTCTACAGTATCACTGTTCAGATTATCCCTCTTACCATTCTCCTGTTTGCTAATACATATCTTGTGTATGCTGTTATGAGAGCTAGGAAGCAGAGAGAGGAGCTTCAAATTCGCAACAACAAGGAAGCGACATGGTATCGGGATCAGGTTCGTCTTACCATCACATTGATCAGCATTGTATGTCTATTCATAATCTGTATTTTACCCTCCGCATTCTCAGACTTTCCTATTGCATACTTTTTCTTTGGAGGAGAAAAAACAGAACAGCAGTTTCGCACATCCGATTTTTACCTCATTCTCCAATATGTTGCTAACCTCTTGGTGTGGTGCAACCTATCTCTGAATTTTGTTCTGTACTGCTCCTTTAATGAAAAGTTCCGCAGAGTGATGCGTCACATGGTCAAGAGATGGCTGGAGTTAAGCTGCATCAAGCAATCTTACAGACCCTTCAAAGTCAGCTTTAACATCAACGGCATTACCAGACATAACAGCAGCCAGACAAATAGCTTAACACAACAAACCAAATGTTCCATGAGCATGGGGCCACATGAAATTCTCAAACTAGAAAAGGCTGATTACTCAGCTAGTCAGACCACAGCACTGTTTGACAAAAGTGAAGCTGATAACTAAACTTGACAGTGAACACAAAAACTGAGGAAGTCTCTCGTTGGCATACGTACAAGACTCAAAATCAAACAATGCTAAATGTCACTGCTTAAGCCTTTGCATTGACTCTTTCTTTGAAAAATCAGATCTTATAATGCTTATGATCTTTTTTCACTTCATTCAGGGAATTTGACTGCTTCTCAAAATTTAAGAATATATTATAATAAATAAATTATACATATATCTATTTATTTAACATTACAAGGTTTACAAATTACAATCAAAAGAGACTAAGTTTCAGTAAATAGGGCATTTCATTTACCCCCATTTACTATGTAGATCAATGTACTACTCATTGTACAGTTGATATGTATATATTAAATACATGTTTTTTTGTCCTCTCATTCATGTGATATTTTATTAAATTTTATTTCTGTACCAAATGCACACAATACTGCAGAGAATCTATTGTTTGCAGATTTAATTTGGCTTATTTGATTTTTGAAATACTTTTCAAACTATGCTTTATAGGTGTTTTTTTTTAGTTATGTTCAGAAACCACTGGAATAATCCCTTTTGCATTTAAAATACTGCTAAATTATCAGTTGACTCGGAAATATTTGATAGAAAAAGTGGTAATGCATTTTCATGATTGTGCTAAATAATATCCATCCAAAGTTTAAACAGGGTAAATTTTGAAAATTCTTAAATAAGTACACATAAGCAGTCATTTATACTCTAGCTGTTTTGAATTCAACAGTTCTTTTTACCACTCATTACACATATTTTTTTTCAAAAACAAAACTGCACATGTTTGTTATGCATTATATAATGACAATTCCAGCCTTGTAACAAATCAATTGCCAACTTTCAATGTCCATTAAAATTTAAGCATGTCGATCCATTATTTGAAAAGCTATATTTGTAAGAAATTTAACAGTCTTTACATATACTGAATTTCTTGTCAAAATACTGAGGTGTTTCAAACTGTTGTCATATATAATTCTAAATACTATTTATAAAAGACTCCTATATTTGGTATCAAGAATTCTTATTACTAGATCAGTGTAATTCTAGCATTGCTGTCATCAACATTTACCTCTATATAAATAATCAGTTTTGTGATTAATATGTGCTCTTCTTGTTACTTTGTTGTGAAAATTCATATGTATATCCCGGTATGTCAAAATGAATAAAAAAGATATCCTTGTTATCAATTAATGTGTCAATTTTTACCGTGTTTATTATTATTGTCAACACCAGTCTTCTCTAGACTTATTAATATTCTTACTATTGCCAATTTTAATAAGAGAACATTTTGCCAATCTTCAAAAAGAGGGAATGATATTCAAAGTCAAGAAAATCTGTTCTAAGCCACTTGCCAGTTATCTGGAAAAGCAGATGTGATTTCAGTATTGAAAAGTTTAAATATATGTTGCCCCCCCCCCCCCCCCACACACACACACACACCTGGGAGGGGCATGATTTGAACAAAATTCAATCTACACTGAGAATGCTTCCATGTTATATGACTCATGGCCTTAAAAGATGTTTACAGATTTTCTCCTTTATGTTTCTATGTTAAAGTTTGATCTTCTATTAATGTGACCTCACCCTACCCTTCGGGGTCATGATTTAAATAAACTTGAATCTACACTACCAGAGGATGTTTCCATATTAATAATTATTGACTAATACTCATGGCTTTGCTGTTCTTGAGAAGATTTTTAAAAATTCATCCATCTTTTCCTAATCCGATGTGAAACTTTGATTGCCCGTTGTGGAGTCACCCTATCCCTGAGAGGTCGAGATTTGATCAAACTTGAATCTACACTACCTGAGGATGCTTCCATATAAATTTGAACTAGATATCATTGAGATGGTGGCCATCTCAAAGGGCCCCGCTTTCAGCAACAAACATGAAAATGTAAGGTAGCTGAAAGGGTTTATTTTGAAGAGGAACATTTGTTTACTATTACTGGATGTGTTGTTTGAGTCTAAAGGGCTTCTATGTCATCCTTGTTATAATAAAAATGGCACGAAAATCACGAGTGCTCCATACCCTCTATCAAAAAACGGCTCAAAAATCCCAAATGTTGCATATCCTCTATGAAAATTGTTGCATATTCTCTATCAAAATATGGAAGGAAAATCACAAATGTTCCGTACCTTAAGTCAATTGGTAAAGTTTGAGGCTGACTGGACTTAAGAGAAAGAAATTATGCACCGAACAAAGATTTTAAACAGAGAGGCTATATTTGACCTTGACCCTTGACCTAGAAACTTTGTTCAAGGTCACTGCACATCTGTTGACCAGTGGCACTCTGTGAGTGAAGTATGAGCCAAATTGGACCAAGAGGAGAGAAGATATGCTCCGGACAAGGATTTTTCATATAATTCTGCTATGACCTTGACCTTAGACCTAGAAACATGGTTCAAGGTCACTGCACACCCGTTTCCTGAAGACATTCTGTGGGTGAAGTATGAAGCAGATTGGGCCAAGGAGAGAGAAGATATGCTCCGGACAAGAGATCTCGGACGGATGGACAGACTGATCACTATAGGGCGCCCGCAGAGCGGGGCCCTAATTATCATGAATTTGTTGTTTTTGAGAAGAAGATTATTAAAGATTTTTCCTATAAAAATTTCTATGTAAATCTTTGATCACCCATTGTGGCATGACACTACCTGAGGTCATGATTTCAACAAATTTGAATCTATATTATCTGAGGATCCTTCCATATAATATATGGAAGCATCCTCAGATAGTATAGATTCAATTATAAAAATGACTAGTCATGGCGTTGCTGTTGTTGATTTAAACCCAGCCTAGCCCAGGGGTAATAATATAAACAAACTTGAATTTTCATTATGTAATGAAGCTTTCACATAAGTGTCATCTTTTCTGGTCCAGTGCTAATTGAGAAAAGATTTTTAAAAGATGCCATGAAATTTTCACAATTTTTTAATTATCTCCCCTTAAAAGATGTGGCCCTTCATTTTAATAAGCTTAAATCCCCTTCACCCAAAGATGATTTGTGGCAAATGTGGTTGAAATTAATCCAGTGGTTCTTGAGAAGAAGTTGAAAATGTGAAAAGTTTACAGATGACACATGACAGTCACAGGATGGCAGAAGACACAAGACAGATGGACCCCAGGCACACTTTGATCGGTAAAGCTTACTTGAGCCTTTAGCTCAATTTAAAAAAAAAAAAAAATCCCCATATGTCAGTTATGTATATAAAAGCAAAATTTTTTTCCAGAGCACACAGTAAAATCATCAAATAAAAAATGCCAAAAGCAGCAAAAGGACAAAAATAGTCAATAAAAGGAAGGGACATTGAAGTGCAGTGACTGATAATGCCCCAGTCAACAGATTCAGTCCTGGATTGAGAGCTTGTTAAATATAAACGCTACATTTATACAGGGCTTCCAATCCCTTATCTCAGTAAATCCCATTTCTGGCTGCAAACGAAGAAAGATCAGACATAATTTTCTCTTCTTTGTTTCTGGCATAACAAGAAGCAAGTTTATGTATACAATAGTACACGACATTGTAGTGCAAATCTAAATAGAAATCTGCTAGTGACATCTAGTGACTTAAGTCTTTCACATTAATTCCATTATCTGTTCCTGACAGAAAGATTATGTCATAATAAAGCTTAGATTTGAGACCAATTGTTTAAGATGTTACAAAAATAGTAAAAATTTCTGTAAGGAATATTCCTCCTGTAGCAGATCATGTTCTTAATATACAAGCATAATCCATAAATGGCAAGAACAAAATCACTCTACCTTTCAAATGTTATATTATTAATTCATATAACGATCGTTATCTAAATCTTCAAAATCAGGAAGGGAAATGACCAACTCTTTGATAATTGATATTGTAAGAATTTTAATGATTATAACATAATCAATTTACAGATGTTCTATTCACATGCAGATACCTGTACATTTATATACTGGAAAATAAAAGACATTCTTTTCTATGGAGGTTCAAAGACCCATCCTGTCTAAGAATTGACTGGCAGAGAGAAGCTTCTAAATTCCCCCAAAATAATACAATTTTCTCTGGCTGTTCTTCATGTCAATTTTTTGTGAAAGTTTTTTTTGGTCACATGGACAATTTGGTCCTTAATGTAATCAATGTACACGAGCACCCAATCAAAAACCCACATAAAATCAAAAAAGAAAAAAAAAAGACTTTAACAGAGGAAAATTGGGATTGTGTATTAATTTTTGACCTTCTGTAACATTCTTTTTGATTCAACACAACAGGGGATTGCCACCTCGTAACAAGTGGTTTTTAGATCACATTCATTTACAAACTGAACATTGAAGTAGCATTTATCTTAAAAGAATAAGCATTTATATAATATTGCATCAAAAAAAAATAAAATTCAAAAACCGAAAAATTTATATGATGCATCAAAATAATAAAATTCTAAAACCAAAAATAGGACATTCCAGATAGTGTCACGATTGACACACTGGACCTCAGGCACTGTACATCAGTCAAATCCAACAGTTCCAATGCATTTTGCAAAGACTGTCATATATGTCAATTTAAGAAGTGATATCACATGATAAAATTAAAATTCATTTAAAATATGTCATGTATAATGGAGAGTGCATAGAGATAAGCATACATATATATGTCTGTTCCATGGGAACATCTAAATTATACCAATAGGTAGATTAGATATAGCTTAATGTCATTCCTCTGGTAGAGGAGAGTGACCAAATAAAGTGCACTTGTTGGAATTACTGAATTCTGATCAAATTATCTTTTGAGCTTGACTCAGGTCTAATCACAGAAACTAATTTTGCTGATAATTATATGTCAGTCATTTGTAGGTAGATTCCTGAGTAAAGTTGTCTATATTATTTACAACTGCTAAGAAAATTAATCAGAGGTTTTAATGCATCTTTTCCTAAAAATATATTTTCCCAGCAATTGTTCGGCCACTGTTTTTGTACTTTTTTGCTACAGATAACTTCATTTATCTCATCTATACAGTGGGTTCATGGCAGGTGTGACTGGTCAACAGGGGAAGCTTACTCTTTCTAGGCACCTGATCCCACCTCTAGTGATATCAAAGGTCCGTGTTTTGTCCTGATCAGGATTCGTATTCTTCACCTGATTTATAAGATCGACCATTGTTTGTTATCTTCATCTTTTACATTACTCTTGACTTCTGACCTTGCTTTTAAGACAGGCATCAGAATCTATAGAAATCTCTGCTATGTTACATAATTCTGCATGTTGAAAAATTGAACCATACAGAAGTGTGGTCAGGGAATGATAAACCATTTTGACCTTCCAATGAATGACCAAAACATCTAATATATGTGTCTCCCTCTTCCCATTCAACAATTTACTTTGTAGGGAAAATGTTACCTTGACCTCCAACCAAGTGATCTTAAAAAAAACCAAAAAAACAAGAATATTTAAATCATATGTAGACTGTAACCAGCCTGAGCTGAAGTGCCAGAAATTTTGACTTATGCAATTAGACAATTGGTTTTTAAGTTCTCATCTGCAAGACCAATGACTGCCATTTCTAATGCAAGGCACTTGTCAAAGGAACAGTTAATACCTATATTAAATGTCTTAGGTTTGATGCTGCACTGAGAATGAAACCCGGACCTGAGACATGATCATAAAGTGAGTTCCCAACCACTAGGCTGCTGTAACCAATGAAAAATTTCATGAAAATACCTCTGAAATTATGCTAAAGACAAAATTACGAAAAGTGAGGTCAAGGTCCTTGGAAAGGTCATAAGCTGCCCTCACTTTTGGTCACCTGTATATAAATCTGTTTATTCTGAACAAAATATCTGTCTTTGTAACAGAAGTCAACTCAAATCAAAATAGGCAGACAGAGAGACATGACAAACTCTATTATCCCAGTCATATACAGAAGGGGAAGGGGGTTATAAAAATATCATGCATGGTAAATCTACTGAAATACATCAAGACTCATCTTTGGTATATTTTCACTTAGTAACCACATAAATTAAGTAACATTTTACAATTTAGCAAATACTTTTTGGTATCTGTGTAATATATCTATCCTTAAATTAATGGTAATTCACATGAAACCCAGTTTCACATGCAGTTGCTTCTTTTACTGGGGGGTGGGGAGGGGGGGGGGGGGAGTGGTAGTGGTAGTAAATTTTCATGAACTTTTTTGACAATTCTGGATGGTC